GTCCAAGTTAAGAATGATATGACTCATGGAAAACTGCGCGAACGAACATAAACAGTGGCGTAATCGTCCATTATCGACCGACTCCAGACCGATTATGAATTTGTAAACTGTCATTGCAATGGACAGCTGACATTGTGCTTTGGAAGAAACAATTTGTATCACTCTTGCTACGGATATAATTCTGGAATTTTTTGCATACCTTTTTAATACGTATTTAATTGCGGCTCGCAAAAAATTTTAAATTTTGAAAAATGGCTCGGACTATCAAGAAGCTTGGCCACCCCTGTTATAGTACAACGATACACATTAACACTACTCAAAATGATTAAAACAAATTCTTGAAGTTCTTTTGAAATCTTCCATTCGGTCTTTGATATAGTTCTACGTAATAGCATTAAATCGGTAGACATGTCTAAATAACAGGCATATAAACAATAAAAACATAAATGTTTCGAAATTAAGACTAGATAATTATATGCACAAATAAATTAGTAAGCCTATAATACATACTCTCACTCATTTCGAAGTACAGTGAAAACTGCTTAGGCGACCACCTGCAATCGACGGGCACCTGTCAAAACGGGCAAAAATTTCTGGCACGGAATAGCTTATCAATAGAGTCTTCGTATAAGTTACCCGTATTAAACGACCACTTATGTATCGCAGTGAACTTCAAAAAAACCGAGAAACACCAAGCAAACACTAAACTGAACTCTACGAAACCTGGCGATAACCGAGTCATATAAAATAGACTGAAAATACTCTTCGTGTGAACAAAGGTTAAATTTTTTCGAATAAACGCTAAAAGTTTTAAAAACTTCTTTTATGAAACCCGAAGAATTTAATTAATACACAATAACTAAATTTGTTTAATAAAGATTTATAATTTACCGTTATAATTATGCAAATTAGATTAAAAAATCACTGCGTAAAATTTCCCCGAACCATGGGATGACTGTAACGTCACGTGACATTCAAACTTTCCTGCTAAACACTAAAAATTTTATATAATTATTTTATTAATCCGGTCAGTTTTAAATAATATAAAATGCCGAGATCTGTTTAATAAAAATTAGTAATGTACTATCTCAAATATTCAAATTAGATATGAAACAGATCGCTGCTGAAAATATCCAGCCAAGTTGATAAATATAGAACTATCACATGACCAGAAGCTTACAATACAAGAAGTATGAAAAAATATGTTAAAAATTTAAAGTTCGGGTACAGATTAATGAATTTTAACAAATGTCATCGTTTAAAATTTAATGTTTCTGTAGAAATTAGTAAATTGTAACAAATTTCATCAAAGACAAGAGAACAATTTTCAGCTTACGTAAACTGTACAATAAATGATTATTTGTTCGAAAGAAGTCGTTATACACTAATAAATAATAATTATTTAATAATGCTTTTATACATTTTAAGTCGACATTGTAAAAATTAAGCTACAGTAGAGCCTCGATTATCCGACCTAATTGGGGACTGGGGTTGGTCGGATAATTGAAAGGGCTGATAACCGAAAAGTATAAAAAACTCTATTATTAGTGTAGTATATTATTATATCCCATATAATTAGTATATCGCTATTAACATACTTTGCGTTGAATTTTCATCGTTGTTAAGCCTAACAAAAATTTTTTTAAATAATAATCATTGCTATTGTATCGTTAAAAATCAGAAAGTTAAGCCTCGTTTAAATACTGGCTCCCTTTCATGGTTGAGCCATGTTGCCAGCTAAAACACGTAAAAATACTATTAAAGTAGCCAAGACATAGCCAAATATTGTAGCGCCACATCAATAGCAGACATTTGAAATTTGCTGACTAGGACGGTCGGTTAACTGAGGGGTCGGTTGATAGGGGGTCGGATAATCGAGCCTCTGCTGTATTTAATTTGGCTTTTATTATTTAGTTTCCAAGTATTTTTCTGTAAAATTTAATTTCTTCAACAATAACAAAGCTAAGCTATTAAATATAAACATGACAATACAAAAATTTTTACGTAAATTTAATGTAAATACAGAAAAAAAAACGCAAAAATATTCATATTCAGTGAAACCTCGGTATACGTCTGCATTAGAATACGTCAAATTCGAAATACGTCCTGTTTAAACAAAACAAATTTTGCTCGGTATACGACTTTTGTTTGGTATACGACTTAATTATACGCGCCATCTATGAACAACTGTCGGTGTACTAGACAAGACTAGACGTTCGCGGTGCCACAGTTTATAACTTCGTTAGATTTCTTCTGATTTTAATTTGTAAGTAAAATTTTATTATTAATCATGAATTGCAAGAAGGCAAATGAAAAGCAACAAAAAACTAAAAAAATAACAAGAATCACAACTGAAAAAAGAGATTGTTGAGAAATATGAAGGTGGCATGCGTGTTCGAGATTTTAACTGTTGCATACCATATTCCGAGAACNTATAATTTATATATAATACTGTACAGACAATAGTAAACTCAATTTACCCGCTTAAACTCTTCGTAGCGTGACGCTGGACGGCGGAAAGTAGTTCGGCTGCCCGATGACGTTTTACCGATTTATAAGAGTTTTTTAACCATGTTTGTACGGATACTGTCGCAATTCTTTTCGCCGTCATATAGGAATCCGAACTATAAGAACCCGTGTTATATGGGGGTCAACTGTAGTTATTATAACATTAATAAGAGAGTTTTACGTGGATTTTTTTATTTCATACCACAAAATATTTTTAATTTACTGTCAGGCTGTTATAAAATGTGTGAAATAAAATAAGCATCAGAAATTGTTTACGTATAGTGCATCAAATGTAGGTTAATATAGATTTTCCGTGAATTTTACTAAAAGCATTGAAAAGTAATAGACAGATCCAGTGAGAGGTGTGTTACCTAAACGATTTTCGTTAACTTCATATATATTTGGTATAATAGTCAACGTATAAACACATATATAAAAACAAATAAATACGTAATACGTATCATATGGAACTACATGACGTTCGCAAATGACACTATGTTGGCTGATATTTGTGAAGATTTGTTACAGTGAAATCTACAAAAAAGGAGAAGTGCAATAAAAGAAAAAATTAGCATGAATCTCAGAACGCAAAAAACAACAAATTACACAAAAGTAAAAGCTGCCTACAGCTGTCGAAATATACAATGTGACTATGAAGAATTGAGCAGATTTGATATTTGTGAATATTTTAGTAAAATTGTATAATTAATATACATTCCATTATATTTTTGCATGCCGAAATTCACCTAGAAAAGCTGCAGTTTTCACAATTATATCATTCAAATACATATTTATTTCGGCATATTTTTATTATTATTTTGAACGAATTTAAATGGATCTAAAAGTATTGGATTGATTTTGTAATAGTTATATTCTCTTATCTTTTAGATGATGTTAAATTAAAACATTTTTATATTAGTTTTAAAGAAATATTTTCACTAAATATAAATTACAAGACATGATATTGTAAACTTTACAGGTTAATTATTTTGCATATATTTAATTGTGAATTTAAATAGGTACATTATAGTGCATCCGATAAAAAGACCTCTCGGATATAAAGATGAAAGTGGTAAGTGGCACGGAATTACAGGACAAGTTGCCACCCAGGTGAGCGAACATAAAATTCGAGTGTTTAAAATAAGTTAATGTGTAAAAGGCTTATTTTACGATAAAAGAATGTAAAGATTATGAATAGATAATTTGTCTAAACCACAAAAAGTAGGCACATTAATATAAATATATTATCATTTCACTTCAACAATTAAACAATGCGCGGTTTACAAAAACGTTCGTTTTGTTTACATTTGTTCATACTGGAATATTAAAAAAGGTTTTTTCTTGTGTTGATTTATCTTCCTAGGAGTTGTGCGAGAAGTTGTGTTAAGAAACAGTAATAGAATATTCTATATATTCTGTATATAATATTTTCACAGAATAATATGGAAAGGTAATTAATAACACTTAGATAACTGGACGTTTTTCCTGCCAAAACTCCATAGATATTAAATATATTTTAAATAATATTATCACAAAATTAAATTTTTGTGGTTTAGATCGATTTAAAAAAAATTAATATCACTTTTCGGACGTGTTTATCCAACAATAGCTTTAAAAGCTAATACACAATGTATAACAGTTTGAACAGCAAAATAATTTAATTTGAAATTTTGATAATCAACATTTCAAAGTGCATATTATTATAATTATATAATTAATTATCTAATTCAGGAAGCAGATGTGTCCTTTGTACCTGCATCCGTCAATCACGAACGCTTCTCTGCAATGGAGTTTACGTCAGTTTTAGCTTTTTATCCTGTAGTTTTTCTTATTAAAGCTCCTGATAAGGTTTTTGATTGGAATTCTGTTACGAAGCCTTTTACCTTATATGTAAGTAACAATAACAAATCTTAAACTATAATTAAAACCAAAACATCAAGTTATATTTTATGTAATCAGGTTTGGATCGCTATATTTTCTATTGTATTGTTATTTGGACTAACGCTATATAAAGTGCTAGAAAAGGACTTTATCGCTGCAAAAACAGGAAAACGATGGACTCTATGTACAGTTTTTTGGAATTTAGTTTGTACATTTCTTAGTCAAGGTAAACTTTTTTAATTATGATATAACTCATACTCTTAGTTTTATAAAGAAAAAGTCTTTCTAATTCAATTTAGGATTGAATCTAGAAAAAGTGAAAAGATTTGCGTCCAGATTCATGATAGGAATTTGGTTGTTATCGATTCTTGTTTTGGTGTCCAGTTACAGCGGGGCGTTAATGTCTTTTATGACATGTCCGTTAACTGAGCCTTTTCCAAGAGATTTTCAGGAACTTGCTGTTTTTGTCCGCAACGGTGAGTACTCATGCGGAACATACAAGGGATTTGTTATTTGGAAAGACATGATGGTAAGTGTTTTGAATTCAATGATTTATGAATAATATTTTTATTGAAAAACAATCAAAGATTTGTGCTTCCTATATGGAACGATGTGTTCTTCAGTGTTATTTTTTTTAAATTTCAGGTTTTATACGTTATAAGAATTGTGTTCTAAATTCATATATTTATTAATTCTAGGAATCGAGGTCGAAAAATATTGAAATTTTACGTAAAAACATTCTGTCGAATAATAACTTTATGGCCTTTGCACAAGGCATTAAAAAAACGCAAAATGAACGATTTGCATACATAATGACTAAAATTGTGTTAAATATGTACATCAGTAAAGCGGAAAGGCATAAATATGTGATGTCGAAAGATTCTTTTTGTTCATATAATAACGCTTTTCCGATCAGAAAGAATTTTCCATTTAAAAAGGATATATCGAACACGTAATAAATTTTGAAATTCATTAATACTGCATACGCAATTAAATTCATTTTTTTATATTTAAAACAATCTTATTCTAGAATAACACGCATGTTTGAAGCTGGACTTTCTGAGAAATTGTTTCCTCAAGACGTCGAAGAATTCGAAGAAGAATCAGAATTCCAACCGTTGTCAATCGAAGATATTAAAAGTCCTTTGTTACTTATGGGCATTGGATATCTAGTGTCGTTAATCTGCTTAATCATTGAAATAATATTAACCAAAGTAATTAAAATTGTTAACCGTAATCCATCTTACTAATGTAAAATTATAGAATTTAACTATTATAATAATTTTGCTGATTATTGCAACACATAGAAGATGAAACTTTATATTTTCTTCATTCTGTCTATAGAACAGAGCATTGTTTAAGGAATTGAATATTCTTAATTCTATTCTAGACAGTGCAAAATTCTATTTCGCATTACATACGAAAAATTCTAATTTATTACGATATTTATACTAACTGATTATGAATATAGTAATTTATTAAAACAATAATTATTTATTATAATCTACTTTACAATTTCCTACTTTATAATGTATCTTATAGTGTAAATACGATATATGTGAAAACTATGGCGAAAATTTCATGAAAGCACTTTCATTGCATGGAATTTTTCACGAAATAAACATGGATATAGAAATATCTCCTGTTGGATAAATCAGTTTATTAGAAATATTTATATACATTACTACCGTAAATAACAACTATCTTTCTTGTGTAAAATTAATCATTCGTTAATTACATATACCACAAATTAACTTATAATATATTCGTAATATTTAATCATACTTTTCGTCTATTGTAAAATACAATTTTGTAATTATGTATACTTTACGAGAAGTATAAAATAAACGATAATTAATGATACAGCTCACTTGAGAATTTGTTTTGAATCTCTATTTCTCCGAGAGGTTTCTTTTAAAAAGTTCTATTCGTCTCTTACTCTGGCTTCAAGAATGGAAGGTAGACGTTTCATTGGGAAGACTCGTCATTGTTGCGACCTAGAATAGCAATTCTGATTATTTCGATTTGTGTCGTTTTTGCTTTTGCCTTCGGTTTGTGTAATTTTATAGTTGTTTATTAATTAATTAATTATTTAAAGATAGACAAACAAAATTAAAAATCTAGATATTAAGTTTATATTGAATGATTACCGAAAATTGAATTTAATTAATTGGCATAAACAATATTTAAATAATCGATATAATACTAAACAATATAAACAAGATAAAAGATATCATTTTTTCTATATGTAAAGAACATGTTTGAAAAATGTAACAATACCTTTACACAACATAATGTATGTTCGGCCAGTTATTTAATTAACTAACCAAACATCACAAATGTATGTAAAAAAGTTCAATATAATAACAACACGATTCATAAAAAAGAAATTGGAAAAAGAAGGAATTCTTAGTATGTTAGAATGTAGTTGTATTAGCCCAAAATTTTATATGAAAAAAACAGCCTTAGAAGAAAAAGTCAAAGAACATAAAGCGGCAATGCTCCTCAAATATACTCAATCACTTAACATGTTTGAACACTTAAATGTTAATAACTGTCAAATTAATAGAAATAATTTTGCACATAGAAATCGATACTTATAATCGTACATTTAAAGAGCACGTCGAAATTTTAAAATGTTATTGAGATAAAATTGTAAATGTATCAATAGCATAACCATTGACACTAGATAGTATTAAATAATGGAGGCAATATTGTACATAAGTGTTAGTATTTTTAACGCAAACATGTATGGTTTTAAACTTTTAGTTTTTCAAATATGTACAGTACCTACATTTAATCTTAGTTTTGTAAACCCTTACTTGTAAATGTATATTTCGTAAATGGTTATAAGAAATAATTAGTAATATAATATAAAAATTTAGTTTTATTGTATAATATTTGATATTTTAATAATATAACACTTAATGTGCACGTCAGCTCTACAAATTGGATTATATTCGTTTATATTTTTGGTGCTCTTGTATGGAGCAAAACCGAGTTAATACTACTGCATCACTTATACTTATTCTATAATAAGAACAAAATAATTTTCCACTGTCTTATTTAAAGGTAAATCAATAAAGTACGATCATACTTAAATTGTTAGAAATGTATGGTTTTTAATTTTTTTCTGTTATTTACGAAAGTTTAAATGTTTAAATATTGAAAAGAGTGAATCTCTGTCTGTGACACTCAACTGTTATATATACAGGGAGTTCTTTTCTATCTTGAGACAATGAAATAACTTAATTGGATTTCATTATATGGGTAAAACGTATCGACAAATGTTGTAGTGTTTCGAGTGAGCAATCAATTGGTTACATCAAACCTGACCTTGATTTTGACCTTCACAGTCATTTGAAAGTAAAATCTGTTTTTTTTTTTTAATGGGAACATATATTTTTGAC